GCACCCACCGCAGGCTTGTTAGCCAATGGCGCTGGCGGTTGAAGCAGACTGTGGAGCTGGGCGTGTTGGAGGTGAAGCTACTCTGGAAGCTTACGATCATGGGAACCCCTGGACAGAGCTCAGCGCTGAAGGCAGAAGAGAAAAGACACCTGGAAACTGCCTCCAGAACAAGCCTGTTGTTCTCTGCCAGGCAGGCTGTTACTTGCTCCTGGGGCAGTGTGTCTGGGAGACTCCATCATCCATAGAAGGAATTCAGCAAAGTGGAACATCTGAGTATGAGGTGGGAAGGAAGGAGTTTGGGGAATGCATTCGGGGAGGTCTGAGGCCGAGGAGGAGAGGCTGGCCTTGCCACAAGCTCTTTGTGGGTTCCTGGCAACCCTGGATTCCTGCACAGCCGTGGCCTCCAAAATTCCACACCCTGGTTCTTCTCCAGTTTTTGGTATGGACATTTTAAAACCCAGGGAGAGCACAGACCCTCTCCTCCCCCAATTGTCCGTGTCTCTCTTTTGTGTCCTTCTCCTTTCTGACACACGATCTCTCTCTGCTGCTCTGTGTATGGTTCCGTCTCAGTCTGTTCTCTCTCTCTCTCTGTCCTGCAAAGTCTCAGAGGTTTTGAGGACTCCCCAAAGCCTCCAGGAGCTGTAGCTTTAGGAACATTTAGCTTAAAGATATTGGCAGGGAGTTCTCAGTACACCTATTCAAACAGAAAATAAGATTCAGAAGGAAAAAAAAAACAATTTCTTACTCATCACTAATTTCAGGAAGAGGAAGGTCTCTAGGGCTTTGAGGTATTCTGTTTAAAGTGAGGCAAACCTACACTACAGATTGTACATTTTGGTCCCCACCCCCACAGCCCACACACTGATCCTCGCTGGGATTATAGCTAAAAAGAGTAAGGCTCTGTGCTAAGGGCTATAAAAATATTTCTTAAAGATAAATTATCTTATTTATCTCCTTATCCATGAGAGTTCAGAAAGGGGGTTTTGTCAGTGATGTCCCCTTTTAGGAATATAATCAGCCACAAGCGAGCATTTTCCTGCTACTAACAATAGAAAAACCAAATAGTAAATCACTTAGGCTCAAGCCACTTGTGACCCAGAGGGCGTGTTGGGTTACACTTTCTATGAATCATCCTGCGAACTGACAGGAACCAATCTGGTAGCAGCAGATATTCCATGAACTCTTTTTCTATTTTTGGTTTCAGAAACTGGGCGGACTGGGATACACAAAGATATGACGGTCACAAACCTGCTGTTGGAGTTCAATTTGGGCACTTCAAAACCACAAGTGATAATGTGCTACTCATATTATTCAGCCCCTGCCCGCTCTTTGCTTTAGAGGGAGAAATGTATTTCTATCTTCCAGTACTGACATTAATTCAAGCATGCAGAAACACAAGAGACCTGTGTAGAATTGTCTCCCAACAACAATCACACAGAATTAAGAATATGTATGTAGATGAGATCAAGTCTATATAGCCATGATGGTAAAAGTGTACTTTTCTTTACCCTCATGTGCTTGCTAAGACTATCTACCTCTAGAATCTACCAGATCAAGGTCAGCCCTGAGAAGGCCATCCAGCAGAGTCACTCCTGGAGATGAAGGAAAACTGTACTAGAGATTAATCTGGACTTCTTTCTCCAATGGATGCAAGGAAAGCCCTAGAAAACCGGATTTCCAGGATTGGATTTGTAGTTGCTTTAACATCAGTGTTCTAGTGAAATGCCTGTCCGCCATGTTGTAGTGAGAACACCCATAGAACCAAGAGAAGGGCTGAACGATCCAGTCTTTTAAAAATAATTAATCCTCAGTCAAGATATGCTATGATGGCTTAAATACACTGAGAAAGGGAAACGTTTCTGGCTCGTGCATCCAAATAGGGGTGGAAAGAAACCCCACCAAGTCTGGAGAGACTCTGAGAAGTCAACCATTTTTTCACAAGCAAAATATAAACACACAGTAAGGGATATCCTGAAACCCAAAGGAAATGGCACTAGTTCTTAGTAAAAACTGCAGGCCCCAAGTAAATTTGAGAAGAGGAAAGCGATGGGGAAACTACTGGTATTCCTGTCTATGTCCAATTTGAAAGGGGCTTTTTACAAAGTTCCAATTACTGAATACATTGAATTCTTTTGATTTTTAAGACTGCAGACCAGGGGTCCCTCCAACCCCAAAGTACTTCCCACCAGGCCTTCTTAGGTCCTTTGTGCCATTAGAGGGCCCTGAGTCTAGTGACCAAAGACGGGGAAAAGGAGGAGGCAATGGGGTTGGGAAGAGGGCAGAGAGCACCTCCAAAGTGGCTATTCTCAGAGAAGTTTCCTGAGCAATGGAGGGAATCCTGAGGATCTTTGCCTCAGAAGCAAAAATGATGTGAGGATAGAGATGTATCCATCAGCTGTGTGGCCTGCCTTTCCCCAGGCTGTTAGTCACACAGAAGCCTGGCTCAAGGTCTGGGAGTCTTGCAGAGCAAGAAAGTGGCAAAATCCTAGCACTGGGTGGGAGCAGTGCCCACCCCAGAGCTAAGCCATGGAGCACATTTCTGGCCCCCACTGGCAGCCTCATTGGTGCCATGAAATGGGAAGGGGACATCTCCCAGAAGCTATCCCACCTGCTTCTCCAGGTGCTGGGCTAAGTGCCTGGGCCATACTGGCCGCTCTCGGTGGTGGCCCCTTTGGTCAGTGTCTTCTGGGGACACGGTAGCCATGGTTCAAAAACAGCTCATGTTCCCAACGACTGGGTCTTCTGGGAAAGAGCCAGTATAATTGTGTACTTGTCTATTGTTGATAACGGATTCTGCACAGCATGCTATCTTTTATGGGGGTTTTGGTAGTAAATGAAAATCAGGTATCTGTGTTACAGGAATTGAGAAACACCTTCCTTGAGTTGTTCTTCCTCCCAATTTTGCCTCCTTGGGAAATTGATGGAAGGTACTCCATGCTGAGCCTCCAAGGCCAAGTCCAGAGCTTTCTGTCAGGGGAGAGGGGGCAGGGGACAACAGCACAAAGCCTGGGATCCCCTCTTCTCAGGAGTGAGGGAGAGCCCATAGAGAGCCGAGGAACTGCTCCAACCACAGAGCCTCCCACTCCCCACCTCTCAGCTCAGGGGCTCAGCTCACTTTCGATGCAGCTCCTGGCTTTCACTCCTATGGGGGAAGCTAAGAACAATTTGCCTCTAAGGGGCAAGAAAGCCTAACGGTCAAGGGGCTTTGAATCAGACATAGCACTGGGTTTCAGTATCAGCTCTGGGACCACGTGACCTCCAGGAACCTGCTCAATGTGTCTGAGTTTACTTCCTCTTCCGTAAAATGAGGATAATGCAATCTACCTCATAAGATTCATGTCAGGATTAAATGAAATAAGGCAGGTAAGTACCCAGGACAGTGATAAATAAGTGGGGATTATTATTATAATTGTTATAAATGGATCAAATTTAAACTTAGATTTCTTCACACTCAAGTGGAGCACCAAACTAGAAGTTGGGTACTTTGGAGTCATTCTCCTAGTGCTGGATTATAAACTCTTCTCCAGCAGAAGACAAAATGAGAAATAGTCAATGTGTTAAAGCCACAGATGCCACCTGCTGTAACAGCATCCAAGTGATGAACTGAGGTCAATGAGGTCAGACTTGTATGCCAGACTCCATGAGAATGAGCCAACAGCCCAGTTGGTGCTCAGTCTGGGAACTTGAAAAAGAAAAATATCCAAGGTCTGTTCCTTCAAATTCTGATTAAACGGGATACGACTTGTTTTTAAAGATTCCCAGGTGATACAAATGCATATTCAGTCCTAAGAACCGCTATCCCTGCCAAGAAGGAAACAGTTGAGTTTTCTTGAAGAATCTTTTATTATATTTATTCAGTTGCAAACATGTATTGACACCTTGGATGGATCAGACTCAGGACTAGGTGCTGTATTTACAAGACTCGGTCCCAATCTCAAGGATCCTAGAGTCTAAAAGAAGAGATGAACAGGCGAATAGACAGTAATAATATGGCGGGTACTTGCTGTGATGGGGGTAAATACTAGAAGCTCTGGACATACTTGGGAAGGGCTGTAGACCAGTTTTCCAGAGAGAACCCATGCATGGTCAGGGTAGTCCAGACTCAGGCAAGAGTTTTGCAAAGCTTCAGGGGAGAAAATATCTATGTTCCGGAAACCCTAGATATTCAGTAAGACTGGATGTTAGTGGAAGGCCAAATGATGAGGAGGGAGAGGCAGGGACTAATGCCTTGTAAGAAATGCAGAGGAATTTGGGTTTTAAGTAGGGGGTAGAGTGTAGAGTGATCCTAGCTGTCTTTCAGAAAAATTATTCTGGCTTCTGAGTAGAGAGCAGATCAGAGATAGGCAAGACTGGACATGGGGAAGCCAATCCCCAAGATTGTTACAGAAATCAAGGCAAGATTTAACTAGGGATATGAGAGGTATTTCAGAGGAAGAAGAGCCTGGTGATTGAGAGTGTGCTGAGGGCAGAGATGAGGAATCAAGGAGGAGTCAGGGGAGTCAGGTGATGTGAGGCCCTCAGTGAGGGAAGGACAAGAGTAAGCTGTGTGGCAGCATCAAAGGGCTTCCTGCTTCATTAGCCCATAACCTAAGCTGGTCAGGCCTAGTGGAAATCTGGCACATGCAGTACCTTTGTGTTTCTAGGGTGCATGGCATTCTTGCATAATTGGAGTATCTGACTAACTTGAAATTTTCTTCAGAATTTCTATCATATGGGTAAAAGGGAGTTTAAATTAAATGCAAAGTCTGTGGCCCGAGAGAGGCCCCAGAGCACATGGTCAGGCAGGACCAAATACACTGAGCTCATTCTCACTTTCTTTCCCAACCCGGGAACGTGTCCCAGCACCTCTGCTCTCCTCAGGAGAGAACCAGGATCAAAGGCCTGAAAATTTCTGGGGAATGAAAAGTGAGGTGTAAGGACTCGGTACCCCAGTCTGCAGAACATCTCACAGACTCAAATTATCCTTCAAACATGGCTTGCAATGCAAAGGTGGAAGCAGATTTGTAAGCAGCTCCATTTATTTGAGTAAATAGCTTGTAAATAAATCATTGGTAAACATTACAAAATTAAATACATTTTCCAAAGCTTGCCAGTATACATAAAATTCACAAACATAGTTCTTTTAAAAAATAAAATATGTTCAGAGCACCCTTGTTATAAAATGTCTGACTCCTGTCCTCTGACAGGGCCGCCTAGAGATGCCTTATAGTAGGTGGGGTTTCTGTGGGGAGGCGGTGGGGGCCTCCGGGGGGAAAGGGAGAGTTTCTACTCTGACCTTTTACCCAGCCCACATCCATCTGAATTTTGATCCTTCTCCAAGGAACTGATCAATACTGGGAGGCAGGGGCCCTAAGCCTAGCTCCAAGCAAGGAGGCCAGGGTGCATAACTGGGGCCAGGAGCCAGAATCCTCAGCACATGTCATTGAGAGGAACCAGAAATGCAATCTCCACCACCCTTCCAAAGCAGCCAATGCTCCTATATCAACTTTCTTGAAAGCAGGGGAGGCTTTCTCACCTCTTACCATGTTCAACCCTCCGTTGACCTGCTCTGGTCTAACGCTACCCAGGCATGGAATTGACCAGAGCTATTTCTAAGGAGGAAAATAGGTGATTTGCTAACTTCCTTATGACCTGCTTTCATGGACAGAGAAGAATACACAGTATTTGGTTGAAAGCAGAGAGTTAATTGCTACACAGTGCTCCCTTTTTCCACTGCGAGACACCCCTTGCCGTGGGCATTTCTCTAGAAATCTGAGTAGTTCTTCAAATGAAGGGTTCATAAAATTTTAAAATACCACGAACGAGGCAAGAAGTACATGACCTGGCAAAGCATCTCAATGAATGAAATAATATGAAGTCCATGAATTAAGCCCTTGACCAACTCAACTTTTTGTGGCGTAGCTCATTAAAATAATGGATACGCTGAATTCTTTCACTTTGGTGCAGAAAGTGAATGCTGGAGGGTCAGCTGAAGTCACATGAAGAATAGCTAGTGGCTTCTTGAAAACCCATGTGCTGTGACCTCCAATTAAAGGACAACCACAAGTGTATCCCATCAATGTGAAATAAAACCCACGTCTACATTTTAACTTAGTCGCGTGTAGATATATACAAGTACGAGAAATTTGACATCTGAGACAACTGTACAACTTAAGAAAAAGTATTACCAAACGAGTCGTGAGAAAACCATCATCCCTGTATAGTTAGGTTCTAAACCTGCGATTTCTCAAAGAATATGCTGCTGGGATCAACCCATTCCTGCTTGTCTGCCTGGTTTGATAATCCTTGGTTGTGCTGAAACCAAAGACCTGCTGGTCTTGCTATTAAAATAGTACACTAACAAAACCTCCCCAAACAAAAAAGGAACACTCTTGAATAAATGTCTAATAGAGACCCCCCCCCAAAAAAAATTTTCTCATAAGGGCAACTATGCTTTAATAAATGTCTTAATGAAGCCCAAATCCCAGGACTCTTCTTCGTCTCTGGGAGAGTTGCACCCTGTGCCAGAATTACACGGTCTTCTTCTGTGGAGGGCTCAGCTTCCTCATGCCTCTTATCCGAGAGAGCAGCTCCTGGATAAATTCCTAGAAGAGAGTAGAAGGAGTTAATATGACAGGCTCACTCTACTACAACTGGGGATTAAAATCTGCTTGAATTGTGGTCAACAGCAGTTATCTTGGGTTGATGAGTTTGGTGGGTCAAGCCCAGGGTCTTCAGTAGAGGACATCTTCAAGCAAATGAAGCATGCTTGAACCTCACATCACCATCAATACCTTCTCCCTGTTGCTCTCTTTGGGGGAGAATCAGAGGCTGCCTTCACCCACTGACATTGTCTACATGGCCTCTGAAGGCACTTGTGGTTTTAGATCAGCCTTCTCAACCTTTAATAAACCTTTTATATGAGCACACAAGTCACCCAGGGATCTTATGGCTTCTGACTCAGTAGACCCAGGCTGGGGCCAGAAATTCTGCATTTCTAACTGGCTGCAAGGTGATGCCCATGTTAGTCTCTGGACCATGCCTAGAATAGCAAAGCTTGACTAGTGGTTCTCAGATGTAAGCCCTCATCTAAATCACCAGGGGGACTTATGAAACCAGAGTGCTGGGCCCAAGAATTTCTGATTCAGTAGTTCTTGGGGTGGTGGTTGGGAGCGGGGAGTGGGTCCTGAGAATGTGTACCGCTGAGAAGTTCTCAGCGGACACTTGCTCCTGGCTCCAAGGATCGTTCTGAGAACGACTTATCTAGATCTCAAAAGAGTCTTCTGACTTCTCTTGACTGAAATCAGTTTTTTAAAAAAGCCAAACACGTTTTACATTTACAATTCAGTATATTCAAACACATACCTGCAATAAAAATCTAAAGAATGAATACTTAATATATAGAACACACCCTCTATTTTCTATTCTAATTTCATTTAAAGGGGTTGCAGAGGGAGATCCACTAAAATGATTCCATGTCCTAGTCACAGATGTACACCCAAAGACTAAAGAACAATCTAGAATAGTTCCTATGTTATACCATCAGGAATCTTTCCTTGTCACCTTCTGTTTTAAAATATTTGCTATCTAAACAGTCACATTTATTAGATAATAATTACTTTGTCTTTCTATTTTGTATGTCACAGACAAAGAGGAAAGCCAGACTTTCTGATCAACAAGTGGCAGTCGTGGGTACATCATGAATTTACTGAGAGTGAAAACACTAAGAAATCTTCCTCTTCATTTGGCCTTCTGAGAAACCATATTCTATCTCCCCTTCCAATCATGAGCTCCCAGGCCAAGTGATCCCAGCAACTACTCTCCAGCTCTAAAACACAATAAGCTTAAACATTCAGTATTTTGTTAGCCACCCAAATTTTAACGTTTTTGCTCTTATAAAGTAATATGTGCTTTTTCTAGACAACTTGGAAAATATAAGCCAGCAACAATTACCCTCAGAACGAACCACTAATGTATTTTCCCTTATGCAAATGGATTTTTACCTTATTAAGATCACACTGAATAAATATGCCCTTTTCTTCAATGTAGCATTATGCCAGAAGCTTTCTCCCACAACACTAAATAGCCTTCCTAAAAATTTACTTCAATGGCTATACGATCCTTTATTATATGGATATTCTACCATCTGCTTAATTCCTCCATTATGGATATGTGGTTGGTTCTGGACTTTTTCAGAAGTAGTAACAACGTTACAATTAACATCTCTGTGTATAAATCTGCAGTTTTGAATATTCCCTTTGGAGAGCTTATCCAGAAAAGCGTTTGCATCACCACCATTTCTGATCTTGGGCAGAGTGGAACACATATGAGGCCCTGTTTTAACTTTCTGAACACTATTTTAATTTAAAAAATTCTTAGGATTAACTAAAGCCAAATTTTCACACTTACATTCAGTTTTCATTGTGTCAAGTTAAGTGCATTTCCCGTTTCTCCTCTTGCTATATGGTTTCGACAATATAATATGAAACATATACTTTCAGTTTCATTGATTTGGAACCTACTACTCAAGTGAATTCTGTAGGAAGTTCCAGCATTTGAGTGTAGATCTCCTTTTTTTTTTTTTAAAGCAAAGGTCAGAATCACAAATCCTATCACTTATCTTGTTAATAACTAGTAATTCTTCTGCACTATTTCTATAGCATATTTTTTATAAAGATCATTATAAAAATAAAGATTAAACATGATAAGAAATAATATATCCTAACTACAGACATTTCTTCTTCAAGACAAAAGTAATTTGGTAATTTAAATAAAATTCAAATTATCTCAAAAAAATCAATCATGAGGTATATTAATCTCAGTGATTAAAAAGTTCAATAAATAGGGGAGCCTGGGTGGCTCAGTGGGTTAAAGCCTCTGCCTTCGGCTCAGGTCTTGTCCCAGGGTCCTGGGATCAAGCTCCACATTGGGCTCTTTGCTCCGTGGGGAGCCTGCTTCCCTTCCTCTCTCTCTGCCTACCTCTCTGCCTACTTGTGATCTCTGTCAAATGAATAAATAAAATCTTTAAAAAAAAGTTCAACAAATAACTTGCATTTATAAGAAATTAACATCAATGAAACTCTTAAAGTTTTATATCAACTAATTTATGTCTCTAAGTTAATATACTGTATTACACATATTTTAAAGTGTTCATGAAATTTGTATAATGAGGTATTCCTCAGAGTTAAAAAAATAGCAAGACCAGTACTTATGCCCCATATAGAAACTTATGCAGGATTTTAATGATTGCAGATGATTCTCAAAGAAGAACCAAGAATCTCTAATCAAAAATACTTTGATGACTCTTGTTCCTGTTACTCAAAAATTCTCTATGTAAATAAGAACCTAGCTCATTTACTTCCAAAACAGGTCACTCAGCCTTGGGCTGTGGACACTACTTGAGTCAGAGAAGGGCTGCCCCTTTGTGGAAATGACATCTGATGTGAGACCTGCATTAACAAAGAGAGGCCAGCTCAGAGAAAGTCTGGGGGTCTGGGTCACAGCACACGTTCAAAGGTCCTACAGAGAAACAAGCAAAGAAGTGGGTGTTCCTGGCAAAAAAACGCCAGGACGAGTGGGGTGGGAGCCATGCTGGGGGAGCTAGGGTCAGCTTCCCAGGGTCTCACTGTCCGCAGTAATATGGGTCAAGGCCAGTTCATGGGTTACCACCCACAGTTTGTAACTACATGATGTAGACCAAGGCTAAGAGATGCTGTAGCCCCCAACCACATATACAAGTACTATAAATATAAATAAATATAGATCCATCTTCATAGTTTTATTTATTTATTTATTTTCAGCATAACAGTATTCATTTCATAGTATATTCATATGTAATGTATATTTCTATATTCTATAATATGAATGACATAGTGTGACTACTTAAATGTAAATCAATTAAAATAAAAACAATTTAAAATTCAGCTCCTTATTCATACTAGCCACATTTCAAATAGTCAGTAGCTACATGTGGCCAGTGGCCACCATAGTAGACACTGGATCTATAGAATATTTCCATCATTTCAGAAAATTCTATTGGATGGCGCAGGTAGCAATGTTTTGAATCTTAAGGCTCGATGAGATAAGCTTGGAGGAAAGTGTAAATAGAGGGGAAAAGAAGGCTGAAGACCAAGGCCAGAGGCACCCTAGCAAGCAAGGTCTGAAAGAAGCCCTGGCCCAGCAAAGGAGACTGAAAAGGAGAAACCAAGGAGAAGGGGGGAAAACCCAAGACAGTGTGCTGTTAAGAAATCTTCTACTTTTTTGATTTCTTTTATGCAACATAATTATTTTGAGATTCAGCCACACTGTTGGATTTATTTATTAAAATAGCTCCTTTTGGTTGAGACTGCAATCCATAAGTCAATTTGTGGGGGAAAAAAAAAAACAATGAATGTTCTCCGCAACGTTTTCTAGATCTCAGTGTACAGAGATTACACATCTTTTGTCAGATTTATTCCTACGTGTTTAAATTACTGCTGTTATTGTAAGTAGTATATTTTTATTCCAATTTCCAACTGTTGCCAGCCATAGATTTTCATAGACTTACCTCACATCCTGCAAGCTTATTGAACTTCCTTGTTCCTTCTAACAGCTTTTTGTAGACATTTACCTTTTGCAGATGTTCTTTCTAGAGTTTAGAACTTTCCCTTCTATTCCTAGTTGGCTGAGAATTTTTAACCACGAATAGAGAGATTGCATTTTGCCAGATGTTTTTTCTGTATCAATTGACATAATTATAGGAAGGGCTTTTTCCTCCTAATTTCTTAACACAGTGACTTACACTGATTGATTTTTGGTATTTTGATCCTTCTAAGTATACATGTGTACTGTTACATTCAATTGGACAAAATTTTCTTTAGAAAATTTTCAGCTATGCTTATGTGGAATAGTTGTCTACATTTTTTTTTATTTCTTTGTCTGGTTTTAGTATCAGAGTAGGGCTGTCTTCATAGAATGAGTTAAGAAGTATTCCCTCTTTCTCAAGTTTCTGGAAGACTTTGTATAGAGTTTGTATAATTTCTTCCTTAAATGTCTGGTAAAAATTCCCCTGTGAAGCCATTTGGGTCTGGAGGGTTTTGTTTTGTTTTGTTTTGTTTTCTTTTATATGTAAAAATCTTTTACATTTCTTTTTTTTTTAAATTTTTAAATTTATTTTCAGCATAAGAGTATTCATTGTTTTTGCACCACACCCAGTGCTCCATGCAATTGGTGCCCTCTCCAATACCCACTACCTGGTTCCCCCAACCTCCCACCCCCCACCACTTCAAAACCATCAGATTGTTTTTCAGAGTCCATAGTCTCTCATGGTTCACCTCCCCTTCCAATTTCCCTCAACTCCCTTCTCGTCTCTAACTCCCCTTGTCCTCCATGCTATTTGTTATGCTCCACAAATAAGTGAAACCATATGATAACTGACTCTGCTTGACTTATTTCACTCAGCATAATCTCTTCCAGTCCTGTCCATGTTGCTACAAAAGTTGGGTATTCATCCTTTCTGATGGAGGCATAATACTCCATAGTGTATATGGGCCACATCTTCCTTATCCATTCGTCTGTTGAAGGGCATCTTGGTTCTTTCCAAAGTTTGGCGACCGTGGCCATTGCT